AAGAGAGAGATTCTTGAATCATTGCACTAATGAACCACTTCCAAATGAACACTCACCATCTTCATTTATAGAGATTAAATTTTAAAGTTGTGACTCTTTAATTGTATTATTTTAATAAAAAATTATTTTTTTAATTAAAAAGATATCTTTTTGAATCATAAAAGATGAATTAATTCATTTAAATGATTAAATTTTTTCACTTTAAGAGAAATTATTTTTCACGTTTTAAAAAATTAAAATTTTTCACTAGGATAGTTGACTTCTCTTATAAGGTAATAAAGTATCTTTTTGTTTTCCCTCTTTTCTAGAATACTCAAAATCGATAAAGCAATCAATTCTAATCACAACAATCGATTTCCTAAGCTAGGCAATTAATTCCTTTAATATAAGCACTTGACTACTTCTCAAGGCAAAAACATGACAGTTGATTGTTCTTGTTAAGGCAATCAACTATTCCAATGATATGCCTTTTTACATTGATTTTTTAAGTTTGAAATCAATCATTTTTATCATTAAACATTACCTTAAGCTATTGAAATAGCTTAATATGATTTTGTTTAAAATTTTCATATTTTAAAAATAATTTCCACCAAGTAATGCTTCTTCTTTCTTATTGTCTATGTTTGACTTTTTTTTTTTTATCAAATAGATTCAACTTTGAAACATTAATTTAGGCTAAAATAACAAAAAAAAAAAGAATAAACTTTATATATATATATATATCTTATGATTAAAGCCAAAATAAAAATATTTCTTGCTATTTGATATTTAATTATTTTGTGATTTATTTTATTTTTTTACCCAAAACCATTATTTTCTCCACTTCTTTTTATTTTTTTTTTCTTCATCTCAATTTATTCTCTCTCTAAAACTAAATCAATTCTCTCTCTAAATCTAGACCAATCATCAAATAGTAACCTTCAAACCAATAAAATCTTTACACCATCGCCCGAATCGCTAATCAATCTTTTTATTTTTTATTTTTTTTTCTTTTTCATCTCAATTCATTTTTTTCCTCTAAAAATTCATCTTTTCTCTCTAAAAACTTTACTAGTATAGCCAGCCTAAATAATTGCATTTAAGGGAAGGAAAATGCACATTATATCTGACTTTCATATCAAGGCATCGTTCTTTTCTCTTCTGATGAAACCTATCTAACAAGGCTACCTTGTGCGATTGATTAGATCCTCTTGGAAAATCCACAACACCCTAAACAGAAAAAAGAATAGGTATCTTAAAAATTTTAAAAAATAAATAAATCTAAATTCAAAAAATTTAAAAGAATTACCCTTTGGTTCTGAGATGACATTTCAAAACCATAGGGAGCTAAAGTAAGTTCACATCCACCAAGCAATAATAACACCACATGAAATTGCAAAAATTTGATCAAAATGAGAATCTTTACATTGTGCATTTAATTGGGGAAAATATAAAAACGCAAAAGGTTAAAAGTATAATTTTGAAGTTGCATGTTGCTTTGATAACTTAAAATAAGTGGAAATGAAGTCATATCTCTCTCAATTTAAGCCATTGATCTGTGGTTCTTCAAAAATCAAACATTTCAACAAATCCTAATTGGCATAATAAAAAAAAAAGATGATACCTTCTCAGGAGTAATAGCATCGAATACATAGACTTGGCCACGAAACGAGAGAATGAGTTGGATGGCGCCATCGGCACATTGAATGACGACTAAGTCAGAGTCGAAAACAGCGATAGGAATGAGGTAGATGGGATTAATGACGGTGTCCTCTACTCTGATGAGCATCGTAATTAAAGCTATGAAGGTTATCGACAAATCCGGAGGCTGAAAATCATTGTTGACGGAGCTAGCAATCTGGGTAGGGATTTTCATAGGCTGGGATTAACGATTTGATTTTAGAGCGAGAATAAATTTTTAGAAAGAAAAAATAAATTAAAATAAAAAAATAAATTATAAATTATAAAGTAATTAAATGTTATATTTTAAATTTTATAGAGACATTTGCATTTTGACTTTAATTATGCTTCTTAAATTTATTTAAAAATAAAAATTTTTTATATTTTATTACGTTACTTAGATAAATTTTTATATTTTTATATTTTTATTACATTCAAATATATCATTTATCTTTTTTTTATACTTAAATAAATTTTTAAATTTTAATTTATATTTAAATAAATTTTTTTATTTGTACATAAATAAGCTCTTAAAATAATTTTTTTATTTAAAATAAAGATTTTTTTGGATACAAATGAATGAAAAGGTTTATTTGATATAATAAAGTGTAATGGCTTATTTAAAAAAAATTGAAATATTTTAAGGACTATTTTAGTGGTTTAACCTAATTTTTACTTGAATTAAAATTTTAAAAAATACTTTTTTGAAAATTTTGAAATTTAAAATTTGCAAATCATTTTTTTTTAAATTGCAATTTTATGATTTTATTAAAAATTATGGTTTTTTTTTGTATAAAAGAGGTTATCTACTAAAAATAGGAAAAGATATTAGAAGTATTGATATTAAAATCTCACATTACTAAATATTATTTTTAAAAAAAATAGTTACATGAATTAATTTATTTAAGTTGAACTTCAAATAATGATCAAAGTTGGTAAAAGAAGCCAAGCCTTTAAAATCTATTGTGATATGATTTTATCATTAAAATATTAAATTACCAAAATTTATACCACACTTGAAAAGACAATAAGACCTCTCATAAATTCTTTCTTTTGTTTAATTGTCCTTTTAGTGAAGTAACACGTAGACAATTACAAAATATTAACAACTTACTACAATTTTAGATAACATTCAATTCTCTATTAATTATTAACTTTTGCCAAATGTACAACGAAAAACATATTAACATTTAAGTAGAAAGAGAAGGAGAAAAAACCAGATTAAACTAGCAGCATACTTGAAAGCTGACATAAATTGAGATTGTGATTCTCTTCGTAAGAGAAAAAAATTATTCTCTCTTTTCAAAGATTTAAAATCGAGCGAAGTACAATACCAGGTAATTTTCTTTTTTATTCTATTTTTTATTATTAGCTTTAATTATATTTAGTTTGGTAGGATATCAAGATTTAAAATTACTTGGATATGCATAAACTAAAGATGAATTAGAATTCCATCACACGGGGGATGTGATGGAATCCAAGTCCTTTTTGCCTCTACCTGCATCGTGAGATGCATCTGAGTAGCACTAGCGGTGTTGTTGAGGGCTTTCAATTGCATTGCCACTCCACTTGAAAACTAGAGGGAGAAAGGTCCAATGGTTCAAAGAACTCTAGTGAAATCGTTCTTCGTGTAAAATGGAAATAGAAGACATTTTTCAATTTTGATAGTCATTTGTCTTTGGTTGGACAATCGACTGCCATACCAATTTTATTATCATCCTTTACATATAAATACATATTTTATCATTAATTCAATATCAAATCTCAGTACTATAATAACTAATTTTATCATCAATTTACTTTTAATCTGAGTTAATTTTACCGTTTATCTAAACAAACTTTAATTAATTATTGCAACTGCGGCCGGCCACTCCTAAATTCTTAAATTGCCACTCGGACTAGCAACTTGAAAACCATTCTTAAATTCCTGTATTAAGGTTTAGCGCTTGTATTCTTAATATTTGTCTAACTTTTATATATGTTGTTTTGGTTGGTCTAAAAGTGAGATTGTAATATTCACCATTTCTGTGGCAGTGACATATAATGCTGGAAATACCCTTTTCCTATGTTGCCAATTAGGCTTGCTTGAAATTGAAATTTGCCACTAATCTATAGATAATTAAGGACTGAAAACCAAGGAATTGAAAACAATGAGCAGTCCAGAAGACAGTGATAAGCTGTTGGAATCCATGTTTGGAAGAGAGGAATGGGAATTTCAAAGAATTATAAGCCAGGCAGATTTGGACCAAAAAGAAGACATTATCGTGCTTGTAGCAGAAGTTAACAAGTACATTATTCCAGGGCTTAAAAGAAAGGACGTGGAGGACTTAGCGGATGGCAAAGCGATTGACGTTCTGCTTTTTGATGAAGACTCGAAAGCCTATTATAAGTTGAAGTTGCACTTTAGTCGACCTTATTTTTTGCTTTGGAACACAACTGAATTCTATGAAAAGAAAAGACTTACCGTGGGGCAACGCCTTGGATTCAGATACGAAGCCTGCTTCGCCATGCTGGTTGTTAAACTGCTGAAGTAGCTAGTTTTTTACCCCATGCTATTGATTGGCTCAAATGATGATTAAGGATATTCATCTCTTTTGTATCCAAAGAAAATTTGTTCAAGTAGAGAATGTCATGCATTTCAAATATATAATAAATATTTCTTTAGACTTTTTAATTAATGTAGTTTCTTTATGTTTGGTACGGCTAGTTAATTATAAACTAAACCTTTTTTAATTTCTTTTTGCATTATGTCAAACTGTTGATTGTGATTGTGAAGGGATGGATAAAATAGTTCCTCCACAATCCTGCAATGTAATAGGTATTTGAATCGTATGGAGGGAGAATTTGAAACATGTTTTGCTGGTGTAATTGTAAAACTTAAAACTACGAAGGGAGCTAAAACCTGAATATAGGAAAAGATAGGATAATGGTGTAATTGTAAAACTTAAAAACTACGAACGGAGCTAAAAGGAAAAGACAGGATAAAAGTGAAATTGGAAAATACAAAAAAGATAAACACACCCGGTGGGACTCGAACCCACAATCGCCTGATTAGAAGTCAGGCGCCTTATCCATTAGGCCACGGGTGCTTTAATGATATGAGTATAACATATAACTATAAATTATGTATATTAGAAGCATTGACTTGAAAAATGCCATTGCAGCCACATTTGAGATAGCCGTGAATTGACATTGTGCCCAGAAATGGATTGTTCATTCTCTTGGAGTGTTCAAACTTCATGGTAAGGAAAAAGTTTGATTCATAACTTGGCTCACCAAACCAATAGATATAAAAAATTCAAGAAAAAAGTTGGTGAATTGATACATATAACATGATTAACGCAAATTTCAAGCAATGACGACTGAAACGACCTTTTCAATATCAATTCCATGTAAATGTAAGAGTTACAAAGGTAGGACAAGTCCTTGATAATGCTACAATTGACAAGTGACAAACCTTCTCGATGTAATATTTTTTAATTATATGAAGCTTAGCTCACATAGGAATGGGACTGTCCATGCTACCAAATACTCTTGCAAGCATATATATATATATATATATATATATATATATATGTATGTATGTATTTTGACTACCAATGCATTTACAGTGTGTGGAAAGGAAATCTAGAATGACATCCAACTTTTGTCCAAGCTAGCTCCATGTCATCTGGAGAGGAAGTTTCATCAGACTCCCCGATCTTGAAAACAACTTGGAAGAGATTCAAAATCACAATCTTCACCCCTGAAGGAATTCCCAAGCTCTAAGGAGATAGATCCAACACCTGAACCAAAATGCAAAAAATAAATAAAATCTAACCAGGACTTTAATTTGGGACATGTCATAGGAAAGTAGAAACCCCACCCTTCCAAGTCTCCAACCCCCAATTCTCCTCCCCGCCCCCTGTCAACCCCAAAAAGTTACCAAACCTCAAATAGAATGCCTAAAAGGGAAGTCAGAAATTTTTTGTGTTTGATAGATGCATTTCTTCCAGCAACAACAAGTATCCAGCACCGTTAGTTATTAAAAGATCAAAGCTGTTCTAAGTTACGGTACATTAGTACCTAGGAAAAAACTGGCTTAGTTCAATGTATTTGACTACACTGCACACAATGAAATATGAGTTGCCACGCTGAGTATAATAAAAAATGAGTTGCTGTATCCTGAGGAGATAGGTTTACCTCGTCTTGATCAACAGGTCGTAGCAGCCACTCTCTCTCAACTTGAATAAAGTACAAAAGGCACTGCAGCGCATTATATAAAATGAACATAAGAAAGATTCCTTTCATAGTACAGAACACGAATTAATGTTTCTCATTAGAATTATTCTCAAATTTACAATGCCCCTAAATTTACAACAAGTATTTGTGAAACTTTAAAGGCAAACCAGCTACTCTTAATCCTAAATATGGTCCAAAAGGTATCAATGATTATTAAAAGTAAAAACAGGATCTGGATTAAACTGGCAGATCATGAATAGAAACCAAACATGAGTAGGATCAATCATATTAAGTAATTTTTTATCCCTGCAGATTGATGATACTTATACTATAATGGACTAAAATTACGTTCACAAAATTCACCTTGACCCTATGCAAAACAGGTATAAACAATAACTAGGTGGTTTGTTTAAAATGCAACTTTGTCTGCAAAGAATACTAAACTAGAAGTCTTCAGATTTTGAGAGTACGTCAAAGCATGAAAAGATAATTATTGGCATTTTTAGAAAGTGGTCTGAGTTATTAGCTCATAATTGACAAACATTCAATTGATCAACTCAAAGTTTCTTTTATGTAGCAGAGCCAAATAGAAAGAAGAAAGCTTCGAATGCCCTATAAATAAGAAAAGAGAAGAAACAAAAAGCATGGATGTCATAGAAGAATTGTTCTCTTCATCAAAATTTAATGATTGTTTTGAATTTTTGTTTTTGACGAAAGACAGCATTTATCAGGAAAAACGTGAGTGATTAGTCATAAACATTCAGTTTATAGACATATAAAATCATACTCCTTCAAGTATGCAAAGTCCTTGCTTGACAATTAAAAGCCACAAATTCAAATAGAGAAAGAGCTCACCAATTAGAAAAATAGCTATCATTAAGGCAAGTGTAAGTTGCAGTGAACAACTAAACTGCAAGTGCACTGGACTTTGTAATTGTCTCTGTAACCCACCAACCCAGCCAAAACGCTGCAATACATTAAGTTTATTAGGTTTCTGAGAACTTAGCAAACATTCGTACTCAAGATATTGATTATACAAAAAAATGTAGCATAGCATAAAATCAGTATAAAGCAGAAATAAAGTATGTAGGTGATGCCCCTCCCCTGATTCTTACCTGATTGCATAAATTAAATGAACCCTTGGCCTGAGGAAGTTCTCCAAACCTTTGCTTACAGAAGAAAGGCTTGGATCCTTTTTCCTTAGGTGTGGCCTCCACGCCAGACCTGATTTGGCTTCTATCTTCATATTCATCAGCAATTACAATTTTCAATGCACCAAAATTTGGTGAACTCCATGTTCTCCTTGCACCAGTTGTTCTATCTTGTCCACAATTTACATCATCTGTTTTTCCAGGACTTTCCTCGTCTTCTACATCAATGACACACTCAGCATCTTTACCAGAAAAGTTAAAAATTTTCACTTCAGACACATTCCCATTGCAAGTAGCATTGAAATCAGGATCTGTGTCCTTTCTCTTATGTGAATTCTCTAAACGTGTGCTTTTCATAGACGGTTGCAAGCTTGGAGAGGTTCCAGAAAGGAACATGGCTAAATCATCACATTCTTCTTCATCCAAATTTACCCACCGGAGGGGTTGCTTTCCCTCCTCAATAAATGCTTCTTTTAATGAAGCTTCTACACGGAAAATCTGACTCTCAATGGCAGCAATAAATTGTCTGTGTCTAGTTGCTGTAATATCATCACTACAATGTCCATGGCTCAACCTTATAGCTCTCTCAAACTCTTCCAACTGAATTTACATCCACAATTTAACACAGAGCAACTAGTAACATTAGCAATTGACTGGTAAACAGACAGAACGGAAAAATAAAGTTTGATTAAAGTGTATTATGGTTGACAAGAACACATATGTAAAGTTTCATGAAAAATACGAGAATGCTTAATGCCAGTTTCAATATCTGTTTTGACTTGGCAAAGCAAAAAGTCTACTCTTTGAGTCTGTATAAACACTAGATTTGAAATTGAACAAGATGGGGTAAATTTTTCTGTTACAAGATACAAATTCAGAACTGCAATAAATTACTTTTCCTCAAGCCTCCTCAAAATGGATAAAAAGTAATGATATCCAGCAAATGCCAATGTCCTAACTGTGATAAGTGTAACTTAAAGAATGAAGCAGCAAAAAATAAAAGGATTTACAATTTAAGTTTAACAAAAAAGAAAAATAAAAAAAGGAAAGAAAAGAAAAGGTAGCATACCTGCCATTTAGCAGTACCCAAAGCAGTTTGCAGTTCTCGACAGAGTTCAGCAGAATCTCCAGTTTTTAGACCTTCTCTCCCATCTTTGATCCACATCCTATACGCTGATTCCATTCTGGAAAACAGAAACCATGTACATACTTTAAAATGTAGAGAACTACCGGATTTAACTTGTACAAAATCTTCGAGAAGTATTTACAAGAATGTTTGAAGCTGAAAGTTCTTATATACACAAAAACATTCTTATGTGGTTGATTGATAATATTAAGCATTACAAAAGCTCAGAAAACTCGCTTTTTTCCATTTTTCTTTCAGAAGATAACTTTCATAGGCCAGCATCTTCATTAAAGTTTGCAGAGCACATGCATATAATCTTCCTGGTTCTTATTTAATAGTAAAAAAAAAAAATTAAAACCAAAAGGAAAAGATGGACCCTTTAATCATAGTTTTTCTGTTTCAACAATCAAACAAACACTGTCGTCTTCTTTTCTACTTCATCAGGGTTAGAAGAGGCAGAAAAAAAAAAGGAGAAAAGCCATCAATAAGAAAAACAACAAATTGTAGAGTATCAGGTCAGACAACATTGCCCTAAAACAGCAATGCAGGTAAGAGAAATAAAATAAGCATATACAGTATGAACATCAAAACATGCCAGCAGGCAACATAAAAAAACTGTAAAATTTAGGAGCTACAACACATTTACTAGAAATCAAACCCAAAAACAACCCCAAGAAAACACTCAATAATATGAAGATTTGCTAGTATTAAACCAGACTTTTAAAAATCACAACCACTTCAAACAATCCAAAAAAGATACCCACATCACCAACCAATCCCCCCATTAAATGAACATAATCGCTTTTCCTTTTTTAAGAAAAAGAAGCCAAAAACCAGTTACAATAAGCCATGAAAGGAAAAACAGAACAGAACATACATATCAGCAGATTCTTGAACCTCTTCTGCTGCAGAAAAGAAGGCGTCTTTTTGCCATAAATCAAAACTGTTAGCGACCATCATCTTTTTCACCCTTAAAAAGCTTAGAACCAAAATAAAATTATAAATAGTACTACTAAGAGATTTGCAAAAATGGGTGGGTTTTCTTTTTCTTTTGTTCTCTTCCCTTCTCTGTTTTACTAAGAAGAAGCAAAGAAGGAAGAGAGAGATAGAAAACAGAGAATAGAAGCAAAACAGGGAGAAAGCTGAAGAGACGTAGAAAGGATCTCTATAATTCTTTTCTCTTCGTCTTTCCTTTCCTTTCTTCTCTTTCACCCTTTTTTGCAGTATTCACCTATTTCTTTTTCCATTTTTGTAAGTTTATTTTATTTTATTGCTTAATTTTCTCTAAATCGGTGTTTTGTTCCATAAACAGGAGGTTCTATTTGCTGTTTCTTATACCAAACTTTTATTCCTTGTGAACCAATAAAAATTATCCACGTCAGCAAACAACGTTTTCTACTGGCGTGTTTTAATTACAATGGTTGACTTAATGAAGTTTTAAAAGAATTAGAAGCAGGTGATAGGAACTCCATAAAGCCCAGTTAAAAAAGTGATGGCGTCGTCGGCTGCTGGGTAAGACGGAAAAAGACAATGGACAAGGGCGGTGACTGGTGAGGTGGGCTGCCCATTTTGCGGCTGTGTATTTGGAGCATTTCACCTACTCTGATTAATCACAGCACAGTATTAAGGTCCACAGTTTAAAAAGCGTGAGTTTTATATAATTTTTTTTATAAATCTTATATAATATTGAATTATAAGTGACATATTTTCGTACATTTTGTACCATAAGCCAGACTTAAGTGAGGCCTCTCAATTCAAGCACTTCATTTATTCATTATTCCATTTTAAGCTACATTTAGATTTCATTGCACCCCCATGACATCTAACAGAGTTTTTATCCTTAAATTGCATCATCATGATGCATGTGGATAGTATCTAATGGTGTAATTAATGCCCTTCTATTTTTAATTATAGAAAGAATTAGTTTGGCAAACTAATTATTTTAATATAAAAAATAATAAATATTATATAAATATTAAAATTAAAAATATATATATAGTATTTTATATATTGCAATTATATTTTTTATTTTTCATATTATGTTATAAATGTTGTATTTTTTATTAATTGTTTGATTAAAATGTATGATTTGTTAATATTTTTTAGATTGTAAATTTTTTTATAAAAATATTTAAAACAAAAAAAAGAAATATACCAAAAGTTCCTTCTCCAAATTATCCCAATCAATTTATTTCATGCTTTAATTAATCCTTTATTTATTTATTTTATTTTATTTTTGCCTTTTTTAGGTGTCCTTAAAATTAAGAAATCTTAAATTTAGGTTAATTTTAATATATTATTATAGATATGACAATTGATTTTTTTATGAGATAATTAATTGTTTATTTTAATTTTATCGATATAAAAATTAATTTTTTATTATTATCATTGTTTTCAATTTATTTAAATTACACTCATTCATTCAAATAGACTTTTAATTAATCAATTTTGAAATTTCATAATTTAAACTTGAAGAAATGATTTACTCAAAACTTGACTTACGGCCCATTAGATCACCAATTACTTTTGGTGTGATATGATTAAAGCATTCAATCGTGTCAAAAAATAGTTTGGATATTAAGGTCCTATGAGTTTGAAGCTCCGACCATCGCATTGAAACTACAATAGAGTATTGGACTTTAATAGTGTGTTTAGATTGAGGGGAGGGGAAGAAAAGAAATGTAAAGGAAACAAAATTTCCATTCCCTTGTTTAGATAAAATTTTAATTTAAAGAAAATGAAAGTGAAGAAAATCAAATAACCTTTAGTTTTTTTTATAAATTTAATTTTTTTAATATAATAAACCCTAATGAAAAAATCTAAACAGATCATAATCATCTTATAATTTTTTTAAAGTTATATCTATTTTCAAGTAAGTTTCATATATCTCTTTCAATATAAAAATTTTTTATAATTTTTTAATATTTTTTATTTTGATGAATAGTTAAATATGAATAGATATATTTTTAGATTTATGAGATGTCGGACTAGCTCAAAATTTTTTTATTATAACAATTAATTTATATGAGTAATTAATAAATATTAGAATTATTATTAGTAGTATGTGATTTTATTGTTAAATGCCTCATGTCTCAAAGTTCTCTAATTCAATTTTGTTTTAATATTATTTTCTTTCATACAAGTATTAGTGTATTTATTTTTACGATAATAATAATAATTATTAGTATTTTGCTATACAAATGGATAAACAAAAGAAATGAGACTATTGATATAATAACAACTGTGAGGTCAGACAAGATAATAAACATATCATAGTTCATGAGTACTATAAAATTATAAGCAATGAAAGGTTATAACTGAAAAAATTTATTATAATAAATCATTTCTTTTCTTGTTCACTCTTTATCCAAATAATGGTTGTTAAAATTCTTTTTTTTTCTTTCTCTTATTAATTTTAATTATCCAAATAATGATTACATGTATAATTTCCTTTCTTTTAATTTAAAAACTTTTCATTTCCTTTTTTTATTTATTAATATTTATTCAAATATAGCGTAAGGGGTTTGGTAAGATTTTCTTTCTCAGTCGTAGCTTTTTTTATTTTTAATTTTAGCCCATGTTTTTAATTTTTTATTTCTCTTGTACCTTCCTCACTATAATGTTGTAACAAAAATGTTCTTATGCTATCCTTTTTTTTTATTTTTTATTTAAAAATATTTAAATAATCTTATATAAATAAATATAATTATATAATAAATAATCATATAATTACATAATAATTACTTTTTAATATAAAAATAATTATATAAATAAGTACATAAAAGAGTTAATAAATAAAAATTTTTATTATAAAATAATTTTAATAAATTTTTATTTATTAAAATTATTATTTAATATAAAAATCAATTTAATATATTTTAGTTATATATATTAACATTATAAATATTAAATAAATTTATTATATCAAAACTTTAATAAATTATCCTTAATAATTATTTTCTCATTATTTTTTACCTCACCGTTACTACCACTTTTATATCTAAATAAATATTTCATTATTAATTTTAATCTCATCTCTATAATACATAATCTTATTGCTATAGTAATTAATTACCTATATTATTATTATTAATTTTACCAAAATTAATTTCACCATCTATTTAAATGGATCCTTAAATATACTAATTACAATCTCTTGTCTATAAGATAATGGCATTTTTAAAAAATAAAAATGATGTAAATGCATGTAGACACGCCTAAAGAAAGATTATTAATTATATTCCATTTTTATAATATAGTGCTAATAAATTACGAAATTAGTGTTGATGATAAGTTAATTATATCAGGTGAAGAGGATTAATAGGAAAAGTTCACATTAATGAATGAATGAATGCTAAACAATGGTCAAAGTCCCACCTCGCTTAAACACCACTTTAACTGTCATTTCCTTTATTAATTAGTTACACTATATATAAAATTTTTGTTAAATTGATATCAAGAGTTGAGTGAAATTAATTTAATAAAAAAAATATAAAATCAAATAAAATTAAAAAGCATTTATATCTTTTTACTGTTAACATTTTAGTTTTTCCAACATAATTTTTTTGAAAACATAATTTTATTTTCACACACATAATGAATGTATGAAAAATCAAAATCCAGTTATTATCACGTGGCTTCCATTGCAACGTACTCATTTTTGTCTTTCCTTCTCTCACTTAGCTTCAATTAAATTAGTTTACTCAATTCGATTTGTCTTTTTTGGAATATTAAACTCATTTCCATAAAAAAAAAAAAAAAAGTCAGATCAAATTTGGTAACTATGGGAAATTAGTCAACTTAATTTTTCAGAAAATTAATAAATGAATATTTATTTTATGGATACGTTGATTTAATGTTTGTGGTTGGTAGGAGAATGACATGAGTGAAAAACACGCGTGGTGGGGGATGAATTCATTTCTCAGGTCCTTTGTTAGGTATGAAGTTAAAATCTAAATTTTATAGTAACACATTAACTTTATGTTATTTAAGGGATGACAACCATTAATACATGTTTCAAGTTATTGTGACTTTGTATCTTTTTCTAGATTTTGCATTTTACACACTGAAATTTCCCATTTTCTTTCTCCTTGAATGAAAAGAAAAACCAAAAATAAAATCAAAATATGAGAATAAGATTTGAAGCGAATAGGTTATTTAATTTTTCAAATCAAAATAAAATATATCATACTTTTCATGTATCGTACATTTAAAATTAATATTAACCATCATTAGATTACTAAAAGAACGTAAAAATAATACCACTTATTGTTGTGATCACGCATTTACAAAATTGAACCAATCCTTTCTTGCGTGCTTGGTTGCTGACATGATATTGTCATGATGATGATGCATGTAGAAAATTTTACATGCAAACATTGCATGATCTTCTAAATATCTTGTAGCGTCAAAAACAAAAATGAGATATGTAAAATGAATATAAGTTCGTATCATATATATTGTTAATTGTACTCATGAAGATTATAAATTTGAAAAAATTTAAACTCATAATATTTTTATGTGTAAAGTAAATAAAGATTGAAAGATTAAATATAAATTAAAAATTTAAAACAAAAAACAAAAAGTAAAATGAGATAAAATACGAGCAGGCATTTTAATGTGCAATATCGTAATTCCTCAGCATTCACAAGTAACTCCTGCTCCTAGCACTTTCTGATTCTCCACATTAGAATTGTATCAGATACTGATATTGTTGTGATGCACTTCAATCTTGATTGCCATCAAATTCCCAAAATAAATTGACTAATTTACTACAGATAAAACCGTATGAGAAAAGGTCTAGTTAAAGAACGTGAATGCCCACAGCCCGTAGACATAGACATAGACATAGACATTAGTGTTTCGACGATTTGATATCCATTGCTGAAGAAAATTAAAGGAAAAAAATACAGAAGTTAGTTTGAAGCAATAATGTACGGCCCATTTTACTCGGAAAATTTGAGTAGAATAAAGCCATCAAACACGGCACAAATCAAACTTTGGCAGCAAATCTTAACCCACTATAAAAACCTTTCTCTCAACCACACTTTAGAAAGTGGTTAAACAGTAATTGACTAAACAATCATAAGCAACGTCTACCATGCCTTTCACAAGGCTATTATTCTATTCCTTTATTCTCTTTTTCCGTCCCGACAATCAGATTGAATAAATAAATTCTTCATAAGTATCTCATCATATCCATCAAACGTTGAAAATAAATTATACTACCCACTAATCATGTCAAAGTCCATGGTTTCATGCTGCTTATACTTTCAAATTTTGATGACAATGCCAGATGATGACAGGTTATTGACCTTGTGGGTGTTGCTGTTAACAAGATTTTTTTAATAAGAAAAATGTCACACCGATGACTATGCGCCACAAACACAGCAATCAGTATCATAACGGCCTGTTTGATGAATACATTGTAGAGATCAGCTTTGGGCTTTGTAGCAGTACCCAGCCAGCTCATCTGGCCATATCTTATCCTCACTCCTCAGCCTGGCTTGCATTTAGAGAGTTCATATTCCACCATTTTAACACCTGTAGAACATGAAGTTAAAATCGAGGAGACAATCCTCCTTTGCATCTCTTTGAATTCCAATGCCAGCTTCACATCCCAACTAGCATTTTCCCTGCATGAATGAGACAGAAAACCCTGATAATTTTTTTCCTATAAAAGAAAATTAGATTCAGCTTCAATGAATTCATAAATTATTGCTTGATATTTCTTTACCTATCAACCAAATCTGTGTCACCTAAATTTTCCATCAAGTCATTGAATGTGGATTGTAGATCTTCAAGAACTTCTTTATCAACTTCTAAGTCTGATTGTATCTGGGGAGGGGGATCAGAAAAAGGAATACAAATGACTCAAATATGTCAACATTTTGTGAATGATTGATTAATCAAAAACATTAAACTAGTTATCAAAGTTGAAATAATCAGACAAGACAATAAAACTCTAGTATAACAATTTATATGAGCAGGACGTACACAAAACACAGAAATATGGGAAGGAAATTACAGAACTCTTAGAGAATGGCATAGGGCTCCGAGCTCTACGTAGATAGTCTAATAATGGCAATGGTAAGCCATAATAGAAGATATTTTGATTGTTTGACAGCCAAGTTCCCCGGACCATGTGGGAGCTCCAGTTGTACAGGGGGCAATCCTCAATGGAGTCAACTTGGTCAACATCAAAATCTGCAAAAAAATAAGGCTTAATAATTATTCAGGGAATAAAACTAAAAGGCAAACTAATAAACAATCAGGGAGAGTAAAAAAAAAAAAAAAGTATTGGAATCCATTAAAGAATATATATATATATACAAGCTAATTGAAAATAAAGCTTCAAATACTCCCAACATATGTAGGGGCTGTAGAGTGCTAGAGGCAAGAAAGTTACCCAATGGAATCACATCGTAAGGGTTGTCTCCTTGTGGTAAGAAACCATAAAAGGTAATAAGATGTGAACCAGAGAAATTTCCATAACTAAGACAGCATTGTTCTCCAACAGTGCAAGGTCTTGATAGAGGAAATTTCAAGGAATTTGTTGCAGAATCTACTTTGCCATAGTGAACTATGTGTGGATGTAACTGAAAAGAACAATACCTGAATATCAACTAGAATAAAAACTTAGAAAAGACTGCAAATTAGATGAGAATAAGTCTTAGTATATATGCATAAGACATTGGAAATCATCATGGACTTGGTTCAAGAGAAACCTGGGATATGCTTAAATTAGATCTGAAAATTTAAAACATGATATGGTGACACGATATGAAAAATGAACACGAAGGTGACATGCTTTAAAATTTTATAATAACTATAGATAGATTTAACAAAATAAAAAAAAATGCATTTCTTGTTTTCATGTTAATACATATTGTGACACGTAATTTTCATATAAAACATGGTACAAATATAAGAATTTCAGTATTTTATACGACACAAATACACCAATTGCCAATATAGCCTAAATATCGGCCTTAAAAATTGGTTGTACCTATATAAATGTTCGTAACAGCAATTTTAGGAGAACATATAAAAGTCATCTAAATAATAAAGAAAAAAACCAAGATTTTCTATACTAGCACATATAGGTTGGTACATGTGGTATAGGTGTGGTATTAGCAATACTAGAAAAAATAAATTGATAAACAACCAAACACCATAAAGGTAAACATGGTCTAAGATACATATTAGCACTTAATATGTTAATGATTCTCCTACCAACCAGTACTTCAATGGTATATGAAACTATCTCTGATGACCTTAAATTGTACTATAGTCATCTAACATCAAATAAGAAAAACAGATTGAAGGATGGTAGATAACAAGAGCAAGACTGACTTACAGAATGATTGAGAAAGCCTCCAACAGGAATCAAGCAAGTCCTCAGCTTTCCATCAGCAAACAAAATTTTCATGCTGTTAGAATACCACAGTTCGCAAGCCCATAAAAACTGCTCCCACGTGTAGAGCTCTGGTGGAAATATATCAGGATGTTCATTGGATAATGCAGGAAATAACTCATCATATCGAAGATGCAAATGCTGCAAATTGAAAAAGACCAAAAAAGAAGAAAGGTTATACATTATATTCAGAAAAGTTCACATCTGTCCACATAACGCATTTATCAGATAGATAACAAATAATAGTTGCAGTTTTCTTGAATGACCCTAATTAATATCACAAGATTGAACTTTGGTAAGCATAATATAATTCCCAAATGAACCTTGTCTATAGCTACTAGAAGTCACTTTGAAACAGCTTCAAGTCATAATTTGTCAAGTATTCAAGGTTTAAAACCAATGGCTAAAGCTGCATAAACCCAACCAAGGTAAAATACTGAGTGATGGAAATAACACCACTTAAAACTCTCCCTCATGTGTAGGCCTAATAGAACAACTAAGGCTCTGTTTGGCAAATGCTTTTGCTTTTTTATTTTTTTTTGGCAGAAAATGAATAAAAAGGAAAAAAAAACCAAAAATAAAAAAATGAATAGAAAACCAAGGAAAAGTAGCAAAAGCCAAAAGCAAAAGCATCTACCAAACACAATCTTAGGAAAACAAGCTTATCATGTGGCATACAGAAAAGGAAGCAAGAAGAAACCGAAGCTCTAACACCATGTTAATTATCCAACCTAAAACTAGTTGGCTACAAGCGGAGTGATCCAACTTTAATAGGAAGGAACAACAAAGCCAAATCCTAGCTGATGTGGCATATAAGACTACTTAAAAATCATCAAAAACCCAAAGATGCACAACTCTTCTAACATCTACATCATTTCTGCAAGTCCATGATCCTATCAGAAAAGAAAGTCATAACTCTCTAGTAGACTCTATATATGAAAACAGGGTATTGGACAGCATGATAATGGCCAACCTCTTTTGCTTGCATTATCTCTTCAAATAGCAAAGTTCCATCCAAAGCCATGATTGCTTCAACTCCAAAGCTCAATCCTATAAGACCAAAAAAAAAAATGGTGGACTCAAAAACTTAGGAACACATATATTTTACTTTAAAAACATTCAAAAAGATAGAAACATTATATAAGACTGGTATTGCACCTAAAAGGATTATATTAACCTAGCTATTAGTCACTTTATCCTTGAATAAGGTTAAAGCATTTATTAACTTATGCACAGCATGACACAGGAAAAGGAAAAAAGTGGAGTCTTTTCCATTTGAATCTATAGCCTCTAAAATGTCAAAACCGTTGTCATTGTCAACAAATAGGACCTACAGATTTACAAAATATGGGTTTGCTAATGGGCATTGAAAAGTACCAACAATCCCTTTCTGTTTCATTCTCTATTTGATAAAACTCTTGATATAACTAGCATATTAAACTAGGGCAATTCCACCACCCTAGGTGTCTGATCCAAGAATAATACTTCTTCCTTATCCTTACTTCAAATTATCATTAATATTATCTTACCAATGCAATGATGTTGTACTAGAAAGCATAGAAGGCCTTTCATTATCACAGAAAAATAAAAAGGCTAGATACCACTGAGTTCTCATGCAACTATTTTAAATCCACTGAGTTCTCATGCAACTATTTTAAATTCTTTCTTGCATTGATGTGCTGCAAACATGATACAGAAAAACTCTAGTTCCAGATTATTCTGTTAGTTCCGTGTTAAGAAAACAAAGGAAGAAAAAAGAAAGTGGGAAAAGCAAAGAAAAACAGCATCTAGGCAATCTGTGGTTCAGTGATATGATTCCATATTATCCCACAAGAATCCTTGAAGTAGAATATGTTAAATCTGCAATCTTTGACAATATCCTCTTGGCTAATGAGGCTGGTGATGCGGGCCATGGCAAAGAAATGGAGAAAATTCTTGTCGAAAAGGTTTAATTCTAGGTTCTGGAACATGGTGGTTTTTTGTTTAACTCTATGCTCTGCAGCATGGGGAGAAAAAGTTTAACTAAGAAATTTTAGTCTCATATTTGAATTACAAATAAGAAAATAGGACAAAAATATTACAAAGACAGTGACTCTACCACTTTAAATTTAGTCCCATGTTCAGAAAGAATCACTCATCAGCATCAACAAATTTCCAGAGTATCAACGATAAAATTCAAGAACAAAATGATCCTCAAATATACATTTCAAATTTTGAAATAGTGTTTCAACTCTCACTTTATACGGGAGCAAAGCTTGTTACTATTTGAAAGAAATAAAACTAATCTGCTACAAACTAGATGTCATCAACAATGCACATTGCAGCTAAAGGTCAAACCTGTGTTAAAATTTTCTGGTAGCGTATCAAAGTAAATCTTGAATTGTGAATTACAGTTGTACTTCTCCTTCATGCTCCACAACAATGACATAGTCTCAGATGACATCCCATCAATCTTTGCTAATATTTGATACTGCAATCAGATTAAATAACAAACAATAATGTCCTCAGACTGTTAAAATATCTATGCTATACTATATGCCATATTCCACGAATTTATTGTCACCTTCCAGTAGCATAAGTTCCATATAAGCATAGCAGGTAAAAGTGACCATGAACCAGATATATGCCAGGAAATGTGATCCAAACAGATGAACACATGCCTAGAAATGACTAAGGGACAAACAATGATGCAAATTATCTATAGCTTTTAAATGCATTGCAAAGATACCAAGTAAGACGTGCTATGTGTCACGAATCCCACATTGGTAAGAGAAGAGGGTGGTCTTGGGCATATAAATCATGGGTCTCCCTCTAACTAATAGACATGTATTTTTGGTACGAAATGTGGATTCGTGAAAAGTGGTATTAAAGCAGACTCAACTCTTCACTGATGAGGGAACCCCACAAGAGATACCAAGATGGAGGTAGGCTTGGACCAAGGTGGGTACCTCTCCTCTGTGGGTGAAAGAGCCAGTGCAATGAGGGCGTTACACAATTGGATGGGGGAGAATGTCACGAATCTCACATCAGTATGAGAAGGGGGTCGTCTTGGCTTATAAATCATGAGTCTTACTCCACCTAATAGACATGTCTTTTGGGTGGGAATGAGCCCGTGATACTATGTCCTATTGTAGCAGAATTTATAGACAATATCAATTTGGAATAACCAAATAATATCCAGAAATCTATTAAGTCTAATATACTTCTTTTTTCCAAGTTTAGGAGATTTTGAAAGATGTTAAATTAAACTCAGGTAAAACTAATAATAAGCTAGAAATACATATTTTGTGAAATGATGAAATGTACCATGTCAGTTTTATGTACAAGATCCTCGGAGATTATAATAGATGCAGGAATCTCCAATGCAATGTCTCCAACTTCCAGATCTTCCATTGCAATGGCTCCTCTACCAGCTCCTTCAATATCTGTATGATAGTGAATGCAAGAGAAGGAAAAGAGTAAAAATCTAAATATCCTTTTCTTTTTCTTTCAAAAGTATTTTTTGATTTTTTTTTTTTGGTGGTATGAAAACATCATTTCAATGTTAAAGAGCTATTATGAGGTCCAAAAAAGTAAAGAAAAAGAAAAGAAGGAGAAATAAAACAAAACGATGTCCAGATGCTAACTAACAAGGAATCACTAAAATATCAATTCTAATCTTGAACTTACAAGCTATCTGCAATCTTGTTTTTCCACCATTGTTTTCAGCCCACTGTACTAAACGCTTCTCTTTATCACACTTGTAGTTTATATCCATTTTACTCTCCACTTTATCCTTGGCTCCTAATGCATGAATCCTATTAAGAATTGCATTTCGTAGATCTTGCAGGGCACGCATTTGCATGTGTACTTGACTGGAGAATGAGGTTTTGATAAGTGAAAGGATCAAATTTAGAGCCTCCATCTCATTCCTGGAGCTGTAGAATTCCTCTCCATCAGCTTGACCAAAATAAAGTTCTACCTGCATCCCAGAAGCCCATTGCTATTGAAGTGACTTTGTGAATTTGTGTCCTGGCACTTCATATGCCAATTTTGGTGTCACTAGTCATTCATCAGCATATTGAAGGGACTCTGTTGTTTTTCTTTCTTTGTTTTTTTTTTTTTTTGGCCAAAAGCTTATTCAAGAAGCCTTGTGACAATATGTTCAGTACCTTTTTTTCTTTATCACACTTCAAAACCAAGAAAACAAAAGTACCAGCTACAAGAAAAAGTACTTGAGGAAAATACAGTTCATCAAAAGTTATTTCACTGTAATCCCACCATAAGAGAAAATAAGTGGAAGTAAAAAAGCTTAACCCCATATTGATTCTTTTCACCTGCTTCCTACCATGATTTGCAGTAAAAACCAATGGTTATAAGAGGCAAATTGCAACTTACCTCATCTAAACGTATAATTCTGGCTATCTGCAGCAGCTGATTCAAAGTAGCACTTAATGAATCAGGACCCAAAGAGCTCTTAATACATACAATTTCTTTGACACCAAATCCCCTATCACTGAGTAATCTCTGCCCAACATGGGAAAGAACAGCTAGTTAACAGAGAAGATCTTTAGCATCAGCTAATCTAGAAACCTTATAACATGTCTAGTCTCAACTTCTCTACTTCAAACTAGTTAATAAACAAAAATCAGACACGCCATACACTTGCTTAAAAGGTGAGGCATGTTACATATTTCCCAAGATTACATCTTATTCATCTTTACAACTCTAGAAAGTAGTGATAACTACTATTAACACTTTGAAAGGAAAAGTCCCAAGTCAGCATATCTTGAAAAAGAAAATGATAGAGACTAAAACATGTTTACTATTTTCTCTAACCTTCTTTTTGTCAAAGAAAGGGTCATCGTCAGAAAGCTCAATAAATATTGAATAGCCATCACCCATTTCTGCTGTATTATCACATGAAAAATGCTGCAGGAAACCAGTAAAAGAAAAAAAATAAATAATATTTTAAGAAGGAAATCTTAAACATGATAAATTAGTCAAAATTGTTAACCCTAACAATATTTGATGGAAATTAATATGTTTTTAATTGTTAAATTCAAAGAGAAACCACCAATCAATGTGAGCATGGGAGTGCATGAAAGCAGACCTTCACTATGCACATATGCTGATAAGCATGTACATAAGTGTGCACACAGATCTTCAATATAGCATAGATGGAAGAGAGAGAACCTATGTGGCAACATACCAACCAATCCATGGTGGTTAATTAATAAAGCAACAGTGGTTATTGAACATAAAAAAATCATTTCACGTTCCTATATTTAACAAGCAAGTTTTCAATTGATTTATAAAGTGGAATTAACAGATAGAAAACAAGTTTTGAGATTTTAAAAAATTAGTATTCAAAGAAGTAAACTGAAATGACATAACTCTTAGCAGAAGTAGCGTGATTACTTCATATTCCTGTTCAGTCTCCGAAGAAGGCAACATGCCAGTTACACATGCAAGTGCAACATGAAAAGTTAGTTTAATATCTCAATAACCCATTTCTAAACGACAAGGGAATAACTAAAATAGAATCTCAACAAAAAGAAATGAACCAAACAAAATTAGACCCATTAAAGTCCACACTTTCTTTTGCATATTCCAATTTAAATGTGGATATACACGAGGCTGAGGTCAGCTAAAATCTGTGATGAGACATAGCAAAACCATTACGCATTTCCAATTTCAATATAAGAAATAAAACCCACATTCAGAAACTAACCCCAAAAGAAAAACGATAAAGCAGAAGAGTAATACAGCATAAATAAAAAATATATAAACCCATAAAAGAGGTCAACTTTAACATAAATGGGCAATACAATATTAGAATCAAAGCTCATAAATATCATAAAAACACAATATTACACACCGATTGCAGATAATAAAAACACAAGTAGAAAATGAAAGTATTAAAATTTAGTTCTGGTTGGTTAGTGACAAACATAGCAGCTGCAAAAGACAAAAAAAAAAAAAAAACAAAACAAAACAAAAGCAAGATCAAAACATCTAAAGTTAAAGGTGCTGCTTTGAAGTTAAAATTTTGTGCACCTGTTCAGTTTTTCTGATAATTCCTAGGGCTTTTACAGGCAATCCCAACAAAGCACGAGAGAGAGACGCATAGTAAACAAAATTAAACTTGAAGAAACGGAAAAGAGAAGCGAGGTAATAAAGAGGTAAGATTTTACCTTTTCTTCCTCCATTGAGATGACTCTGAAGTGAATAGATAGGGAGAGTGTGTGTGGCCGTAGGTGTTATATTTTCGAGCGAGTGAAGTTTTGGGCGGCAACTGAACTGAAAAAACGCCAACAAGGTTTGGGAAGAAGCACTGGTTCACGAATAGGGACCTGTTCAGTTCAGTTAGTCCGGTTTGAAAGGGCCCAACGGGCCAACAATACCAACTGAGAAATAATTAGCAACATCTTTTTTACCCTCGATGATTAAACGATATTTGAACTTTCAAACTATATAGTTATTTTTAAAAATAATATCTAATAATTTTAAATTTTAATACTTATAATTTATTTTTTATTTTAGATGCGACCTTTTTATAAAAAAAAAAAAAAAGAACTTTCAAATCGTATAATACGTAGTTTAACTAATCTTAGAAGTGCTTGTAACGTAAACAAATCCATAATAAAATAAAACACTTTGCTCTACTGTTCACTATTTCAACCAATGCTGATGTTAGAGCCGACGGTAAGTTGGCATTTGCAGAATTTGTTAAAGCCCATTCTCCAAATCCAAAAGGCTGAACTTGTAAATCTGAACTCCTCCCAAGAGGCCGAACTTGTTCAAGGCAACCCAACTGAATGCATGTAAGCTCGAGGCCTTAGGTGGATACATACTATTCGGCCGGCCCTATTAATTTTATACTACCCTCCAATTCAAAAGAGATTATATTTATAACTTCTTTCTTTAAACATTTACTCATATCTCATATGATTTGTTAGTAAATTAATTTTAGGGATTAAAATTAAAATATTGTTAGCTTCAAATATAAAAAAGAAAAAGCTTGTATACGATCTTTTATCGCATACCTAATTAGTTTTTTCTTTAATTCTTGTAAGAAAAACAGTAATTCTTTATTAAAACAGTAATAATATTTATTAAATGTAGAACAAATTCTTTGCCACTTGAGCTAAAAATATGCGCTATGAACAAAAAAAAATTTAAAAATATGCACATCGCAATGCATCAGACTATGCAGATTTGGTTTAAAAGTTAAATATTACACTAATTTAAACCGTGCTTTTTTCCAATTAAGATATTGTCTAAAGAATAATGTACCGATGATAATAGAGATTCCACCTCTAAAATGCCATGGCAAATTCCCCTGGTAATTTATAACAGCAAAAACTATTAACAAAATCCTTTGATTTGCTTACCAAATCATATACCTGGTTCTAATATCTTGGGATCTTTTAATGACTGGAAGGAACCAAGAAGAAAGTTCAGACATATACGGTGACAATTTCAACACAACATATTCCAAAAGTCTTTTGCTCAATTAATCTTACTTATTGGCCTAATTAAGAATCCAGGTTCTTGGCAGCTTGAATAAATTAAAGGCTACAGTTCATTTTCATGGTTTGCACCTTTCGGGTCTTAAGATTCTGAACTTTTCAGGTTTTGTATAATCAATGGTCTAATTTTTGTACTGCTTTGATTTTCCCATTAGCATCTGATGCTCGATCTTTTTCTTGTTTGTCACTTTGAAATTAACATCCACGGCTACCATTGAAGAAGAATAGGCACTCATAATAGCCGCAAAGAATGCCCTACCAGAGGCGGATCGATATAGCTAAGTATGGCCTTTATGGACACCTACAAAAATTAAAAAATAAAAAAATTTGAAGCAAATATATATATATATATATTATAAATGAACACTTTAAAAAAAAAATTCTAAATCCACCATTGTGCCCTACATTAAGAATTTTGCTTGCAATGTTTATAGTTTGATATGGATCAAATGATCATTTCAATTCACTGCTTTGGTGGCTTAACTTAAGCACAACCTAATTGAATCCAGGTTTTATGCGAGACAATTTGTTAGCTACTTATTTTATTTTATATTTGGAATTGTTAAGATTTAAATTTTTATTATTGAAATTAAGAGTTTAACGCTATACTTTCATACATGTCAAGGGTATTTTAACTAGAAATAAAACGCATCATCTGTTCAAATTATGAAAATTTTAATCAAAGTAAAATCTTGTATAACTAATAACTACGAGTCCTAAGTCTTTCATGTGAAAGATGCAACTTGGAACATTCAGAATTTATTCAAGTAAATGCGTTTTTTAGAGTAATGTGAAACAATCCGAATTGAGCTGTTAGTTTGAATTGTATTCGACTAGCTAGATCCAATCAAACTTCAAGGACTATTCTTGGTTTTAACATATATATTTCGGGATTCTTATTTCTTAAATTAAAAAAAAATGAAAATACAAAACAAGAGCGGTGTCTGTATGTTACTATTATTAACATGAACCCCTTAAATATTAAGTACATTAATTTGAAATATATTGGAAGTTGATAGTGCATATATTCTATTCTATTCTCTGTTTATATATGCCTTTCCAAGGACTCTTCGACACTCATTGGAAGAGAGTAGGTCCTCAAATTATGGACCTTTTCCGCATGATAGAAAAAGTTGGAATTGAAAGATAGGATTCGTGTTTGACAATCCGCTGCGAAGAACGTCGACCATTAATTTATTTCATTGTTATCAATCCAACAATTTTATGTTCTTGATCTCAACCCAAATCTTGGACTATCCGGTCTACAAAACGGGCAGTGTTTATCCATTAAGCACTTGTCACTTTTAGTCTAAGATCCTCATATTTTTGAAAATAACGCTGAAATAAAAAATAAAAAAAAAAAGAAAGAAAAAGCCGGCACCTTTGAAATTATCCTTCCCTTTGGACTGGATTGTTGTAGGAGCATGGCAATGTACTTTGAATTCATTCTGTGGGACACTGCATGCTTCCATATAATGGAATTCTAAGAAAATAATAAACTTTGGTTGGTATTTTTCTCAGCGAGAGAGAGAAATTTATGTGGAGGGGTTGGAAGTGCTTTTGTTAGGTAGAATGGGATGGCGATTTGTGCAGCGAAGGGCTGCTTTCTCATATATCCGCATGCTTCAATGTCTACCGGTGGTCCAATTCCATCGAAGCTGTGATCGGTTTGTATTCAGAGAATGTTGCTACCTAGCTCCTTACAGCTGTAATTCAAACTTGAATGCGTCAAAATATTTGAATATTAATTTACACTAATTTATACCCATAGTCAAAAAGGCCAATTTCTTCTTTATTTATTCAATTTTTTTTTTTAAATATATTCATTCCTTAAGTCTTACATTCAGCCGTTCAAAGTACTTTTTTGATATTTTTCCTTTTTTATTTTCAAGTTATTAATCAGGTAATACTATTAATTTTTAGCGCAATTGTGATGAAAAAATTTATCACAAAAGACCTACATCTATTACAAATATAACTTGAAGATAAAAAATTGTGATGAAAATTTTAGTCCGTCACAATTTTTATCCAATTTCATCACAAGTTTAATGAAAAATATGTCCCTTACAAATGTTACAAAATTATGTCACAATATTCAATTGGCTCAAATAATCATTTATCGTTATATTTTGTTATAAAATTTAAAATTTTATCACTAATTTTGGTAAAATTGATTTGTCACAACCTATTTATCGTTACTTCTACGTAAATTTTTGTCACAATTAAAAATTATAATTTATTTATTCCTTCAAAAGTTATATCCAAATTATTTAATTGGACTAATGGAGGCTATTAATTTGAACATTTGATTAAAGTGTAAGTATTGCCTTGTACAAAGAACCGAGTTCAAATTCCTCACTTACCCAAACTTAAAAGAGACAAAAAACTAAAAAAAAAAAAAAAAAAGGGAAAAAGCTTGGATGCCGCAGATTGTGAGAGTACGTATTTCAACAAGCAATTATTTTGTTTTTTGTTTTGTTAATTACAAGAGATTCTATTTTTTGTGGTTGCATTTGCATGACAAGGAATTCATTTAATCAGAACCAAAAATAGGAAAGCAATGAGTTGCTGAATTAAGGGTCCCTCTCTTCTCAAAAGAATGATGAAGAAATGCATGGAACAGAGGCACATCAATATCTTGACACAACCATAATAGCATGTCATCTTAATCTTAAATAGAAGAAATTCTCACATAACAAAAGGTAGATGCTCACTTTTTTACTGCAAAACGAATCCCAACTTGGGTTTCTTTTTTAATTTTTGATTTTCAAAATTATAGCATTTACAGTAAAAAATAATAGGCAACAGTATGGTTGGCAAATCAGGCTTAAGCAAGCTGCTGTATAAGGAATCATTTCATTGGTACGATTTGTTTCCTTCATAGGAAAAGAGATGTGAACATCAGTCAACTTCTGCTAAAAAAGGTAGTAGTAAACTTCACATTTTTGTTCTTGCCCACAATCATATTCATTTCGGATTTATTATCATATATATCTCTAAATTTTTATAATGCAACTAAAATACAATATAATCAGTATTTTATTTGTAATTGCTTAATTGAATTATGACATGTAATTTTAGTTTTTTTATATTAAGTTAATTTAGATTCTTCTTAATAATTTTGTACATGACTTGATTGGTATCATCAAATCTTATTCGCTTCTTAAAAGTCAAGGAACTACTCTTGATTTTCTTTTTGAGACCTACAGTTGCACATGATCTTTCACTACAGCTTTGATTTTAATTTTTATGTACAAAAAATCTTTAAATTAATTAAACATTTATGCCAATGAAAATAAAATAAAATTATAAATTATTCACACAAAAAATATCAATTTTAACGCGATTCAATCTAATCCAAAATGCTTTATGTTCGTAAATGAAAAAAGATTCACTGGTTACAAAATATTATAAACCTATCATCAATTCATTCTCATTCACAATTAATACTCAAATATTCTTCTATAATCTTATGAAGTATTTTCAACTTAAACAGACACAATTCCATATGGCTAACCATATTTATAAGGATTCTCTTATTCTCCTTTAGTCTATTCAAACATACACACTTATAAATATTCTTAAACTTTTCTTATCCTATAAAGTGTCTACTTCAGTAAAATTTTACAACTCTCTTACATCTTTTTCTTATACCTACCCTTATTGAGACTCTTATCATTTATAAACATATTAATTTACCTATCAAGAATCATTTTATATTTAGAATCCTTCTCTTGTAAGTCTTTTTTTCTATCAAGCAATATCTAGCCAATTTAAAAAAATTTTAGCTACATATTTTATGGGATTTGAGTCGTTATTTTCAATAATTTTCACCTTAATTTAAATTTCATCAAATAATCTTTTTTCATGATAGATATATTTGGCTTCACATGCAATAAAAGTCTTGTAACAATATTTTTTATATGTCTTCACACTTCATTCAAATCAATTTCTCAAAACATGAATTCAAATCCATCCGTTGAATTAAGCACCTATGAGCTTATCACCTATTATATCTAGAACCTTTATTCTAAAACCAGTTGTTAGGATTATGATAGCTCAAATTCTAGTTGTTAGACCAAAAAGCCTCCCAATCAATTGAACATTCATTCCAATAAAAGTGAAATCAAACTATAAATCATCCATATAGGAGATCAATTTTATATGGTTTGACTTAACCCAAAATGACTTATATCCACAAATAAGAGAAAAGATCTACTAGTTATAGAAAATTATAAACACATTAACAAATTAATCTCACTCACAATCAACACTCATGGACATTATCCTACACTATTATAAAGTATTTTCAATTCAAACAAATATGTACTCATATAGCTCATTGTACCTATGTCGACCTCACATTTTCCTTTGATCCACTTAAAGATATACATTCTGTATTTATTTTGATAAAACATTATAATTCTCTTATATTTTTTTTCTTATATCATATCTTATTGAGATTTCATTATTTATAAATACTAATTTGTCTATCAAAAATTTCTTTCCACTTAATTTTTTTTTTTTACAAATTTTTTTTCTATCAAGCAATATCCAACAAATATAAAAAAATCTCAATAAGCTCTCAGAACATTTGAAGTATTCCAAACATATATAACTGTTCATATGTTTGTATGCTTTAAGGCCTTGTTGTTTAGGTTTTTCGGTTTTTCAAGATTCCTGCATGCTAATATGGGCATGCATTACATGGAAAATAGATTTTCCACAACTGTATCCAGGTTGAGGGGTTGTTGTCAAATGTCAAGACGTAGGCCAAGATCAATGCTAGGGCTTGACAGCCCAATGCCTGTACAACAGTGTCAAAATCAACAATTAGGAAAGGTCAACTTATGCGCGTTATATAAGAGAAGACTTTCTAGTAGCTTTCGTTACTCAAATCCTACTTTTCCCAACACAAAATCTGGCCCTCTTTCGATTGTTTCACCTTTTCACCAATTGTTTTGCCCAAATTATCCCTATAAAGAGTCTATTCCTATCCATTAACCACGTCAGTTTCAAGCAGGTAAGCTCTTTTCCCAGGACGAAAGGTTTTCATTGCAACAGACCCAATTGGAAGCTGCCAAAGCAAAGTACTTCCAAGTTGTAAGTTCAAGCGAGTTCAAGAATAACTCAAGCAGAGCCATAAAAACTTTCCCACTAGAGTCCTGATGAAACAATAGGGGACATGTCCCATACCTATAATTGTCTTCAACAACTATTGCAATTTCGAAATGGGATGATTCGATTTTATTAGGAAAGGATCGTTTAACTTGATTTCACCATGTATCACTCAACTATTGAATAAAAGAAAGGATTTGGTAGTACGTTATTGTCAAGCGTTACTGAGAAAACAAAGCCTTTCATGATCAATAGCAGAATTTGCTTTTTGCTAAACATCAATGCGTAATATGAAAAAACTACCTTAGTCAAGAATTAATTCCAATGAAATGATAGAATAAGTTGGATTGGTAAATAATGCTCTTGCTAAGCCAACTTCATACAAAAACTCAGTCAGAGAAAACAAAAAGAAAATCATTCATTGGTCATGCAAATTTTGATTATCATTATAGCCTTTACAAGGAAGATTATGATAACCTTGCGATTTCAATTTTCACATCAAATGCGTATGGGTTCATTTGACTTAATTTGTTGAATAAACATCAAGTAGAATAAATATTGGACTGAGTTACCATATTTTTCAATTTTCCATCAATGAACGTGTAACTAATTAATTATGGCCATGGTTAACCCTGCTTGCAGCCGTGAAAAAAATCGCCTAAAACAAGGGAAGAATGAAAGAAGTTGATTTTGCTCTTAATTTATAGGCAGTGATACCCGAATTAAGAACAGTTTCCATCCCACGTAGCTGCTGCTCTACAGTCAACATGTACGGCGGTAATGAAGCTTAAGTTGCCATGTTTGATTGAAGCCTGAAAGAGTTATTTCTTTGCCATTCCCCAGGAAGATTTTGCAAATGGAAGCATGTGCTAAGGATGTGCAGAAGAACATGAAGTAGCACAAAAAGAAAATCCCACATGGCCAACGACACCCATGCCAATAATCTAATCTTGGCTCCATATATGATAGTAATTTCGTTATTAACAACTTATAAGATAGATAATACCAAACATGAATAATATGGAGACCAACCCTTTTCCCAATCATTTTTTTTTCTCCTCTCAATCCTCTCTAGTTTGCCATCCCTCACATCCCACCAACAAATTTTTTAAGATATTTGGTTAGTACAAACTCCAAAGAGCAATTTGCTTTTTACACCTTTAATATTCTGAAGAAAAGAGGAAGAAAAATAAAAAGAACCAAGGTAGCCTTCAATTTTGTTTTGTTTTGTTTGTAATATCATTTCATCTTCTCTTCATCCTCCTCTTCTTTCTTGCAATGCTCTTCAAATTCAGACCCTTCTTTAGGGCTCTCCAAAGCCCTTTTCTCCTGCTCTTCATCGTCAATATCAACTGAATTTTTCTCCCTCAAACTCCCACTTTTCAAATTCCTCTCTGCCCTCGTCTTCAATAACTCCAACAACTCACTGACAGCCTTTTGCTTGTACCTTCGGTTCTTGATTAAGACTTCACTAATATCAGCTGGAGTCATCTCTGCCTTGTCAACTACTTCCGCTAGTTCCTTCAAAACGTCATCATCCAAATCACCTTCCTCGTACCCCAAATAATTCTTCAACAATATCTTCAATGCAGGATATGAACAATAGCTCATGTAAATATGCATATCCATCCTCCCACTTCTGAGCAATGCAGGGTCAAGCTTCTCAATATGGTTTGTTGTGAACACAAAAATCCTTTCACTCCCACAACAAGACCACAACCCATCGGTGAAATTCAACAGCCCTGAAAGAGTGATGGAATTTCCGCCGTCTTCACCACAACCAGAACCAGAACCTGATCCAGATCTCATTTCAGAGTCATAGTAGTTCCTTGCGCCTGGATTGTTGTTATTCTTCTTCCTGTTAGTCAAATTAATCGAACAATCAATATCTTCAATCACAATAATCGACTTGGAACTTGTTTTCATCAACAGCTTCCTGAGCTCAGAATTATTATGGACCTCAGTCAATTCAAGGTCATAGATATCATAACTTAAGTAATTTGCCATGGCTGCAATCATGCTGGATTTCCCTGTCCCTGGTGGACCGTACAGCAAGTAACCTCTTTTCCAGGCTCTGCCAGTCTTCTGATAAAAGGATTGACCGTTGGCGAAATCCTTAAGATCATCCATGATCTCTTCCTTCTTGACAGGATCCATAGCCAATGTGTCAAAAGTACTTGGATGCTTAAATGGAACCGACTCCCAAGGATGTCCCCTGGAATCCAAAGATCCACCACGAGAATTCGTGTATAAAAACCTCTCTTGATTCTTCCTTCGGATTTCGTTAGCCTTTTCCATTACGTAATCCAGATAGGCATCAAGAATCAAGGACTTGTCTCTCTTCTTGATTCGGAGAGTGAACCCTCTCTTCTCTTCAGGCAATGGTCGCCAAGAAAAGGTTTGGGCTTGCCTTTGAGTCACAACGTGTTCCCAAAGCACAGTGACGCCATTGAATGTATCGACGATGCAGTCGTTGTTTGAAAGACCGAATGTAATGGCGCTTGAATTGAGAGCACGAGTCAGGCTTAAGCGACTACCATTGATGGAAACAGAGGAACTTAGATAGAGTTGGACTGCGTTGTAGAGTTCGTTGGTGTTAACGCCGTCGATTTCTGTGATGTCAAAGTAGCAGTAGGAAGAGAACAAATGGAAGACCCGGTTGAAGAATTTTAGACAGGCAAAGCGGAGTTCTGGTGGGAAAATGACTTGGAGGAGGCTTTGGCAAAAGGCCAAAACCCCTAGTAATGAAGCAAAAGAAGTCCAATACTCTTTCATTATTTTTGTTTTTGGACGGCTGAGTTTTGCGTGTTTTTCTGGGGAGAAATAGGGGAGTGAATCAATGTTAAAAGAGAAAATCTTGAGCAATAGGATGGCGCTGTTTTGAAGAGAAAACAAAAGGGTGTTTGCTTAATTTATAGACTAAAACTGATGGGTTGAAGAATTTTTGAGTGGAGAGTTGGAGACGATTGAAACTGGAAAACTTAGTGAGGGCGGAGAGAGAGAGAGAGGGAATAAAGCAAAAGGAAAAGCTCAAAAGGGGTGGTTTTGAGATGGGAAGCAATTGGCTGGCTGTGGGATATAAGTACAAGGAAAAGGGCAAGGTGGAGAGGAAAAAACAAAAAGGATTTTTGGAGTTTTTAGTTGGGAAGAGATCAGAGATGGGGCCTATCTCTCTTTTTCGGAGGGTTTTGGTTTTGGCCTTCGGGGGATGAGTGACTTACAGGAAGTTTTGCTGGGTACCTACTTCCTTTTCTCATATAGCCTTATTATGAAGAATTTGAATTAAGTTGCTGTCATGGAGGACTGAGGATTGTGAAATGAGAGAGATGATGTTTCAACATCTGGAAAGAGACAATGAATAGAAGGTTAAAATTAGGATGCACTGCTGGCGGCAGGCTTGGAAGCAGAAAAAAAGATATGCCCACATGAGTGAAAATATACCCTAACGTAGCGTCATTATTTTTCCATAGGTGATAAAGATACGTGCCTGTGATTTGCCAGGATTTTTTGAATCCACTAAACTGAGCACTGGCTAACCTCTGAGATAAACAGCAAACCAGAAGAGAAAGCAGAATGAATATCCATGCACATAGATGGCGGCTTATAATAGAATTAGAATGGGATCCACTTACCTTCTGGCCCACATGTCAAACATGTTATGTTATGCTACGTTACGTTAATTCTCGCTTCTCAAAGTTGGAAGATTTTTTCTCCTTATAAGTTGCCATTAATTGCTAACACCAACTAATTGGCAATTACTACGAGTAAGTCCTTTACAACTAAAGAATAAAGATTGCCTTATTTTCTCTATATTTTTTAGATTTGAGAATGCAGCTAACAATGTCACTGTTCAGTGCTCACCCTCTTTTCAAAAGTTTTTTTTTCTTTTTGGGATTTTAAATCATGGTTTGAGGGCAATTTTGAGCCTTTAAAACAGGGGCTTTATCTTAATCTGGATCCTTTTTCTTACTGGTGTCAATGGGTTACGGCCAAGGGCGCTGGCTATTCATCTGCGGCCATCAAAATATAGGTTTGTTATGATGGGCAATGTGCAGAAAGGTCTGTCTTCTTAGCCTGTCTGAAACGTCTGAGGCAACCCCTTTAATTTCTTTTTAGTTTTCCCAAGTCGAAGCCCTCCAATTAATTATGATTTAATAAGATGGTTAAGTATGTATATTAGGCACCCCACTGCAGTGCTGATAATCAAATCAATCTACTCCTAATTAAGAACCTAGTTGCTTTGACCTTGCGTGCGATCACAACTCAACCCCTACAATGCCGCTCCCTGGATGAAGTGGATTCCCTTGTTAAAGTTGCATCATCCATCAGGATTCAGGGCGGGCTGAGAAGAAAGATTTGAGACTCTTGGTCTTCCCTTTTTAAAATTCCCCTTTCCTTTGATGGCTAAAAATAAATACTACAATAATTAGAAAAGAAGCACGTGGTGTAAAGAGCGAAGCAAGTGCCAAAAACCTTCCTTCATTGTTCAATCCAATTCCAATCCTATTGTTTTTAATTCTCTACTTGACTCTTGATTGTGGAAAGAACTTCATCTCTTGACCAACAAGAACGGAGTAAACGACTAAAGATTAGATATTCTACATGACAAGGAAATAAAGAAAATAATAAGTGAAATTAGGTGGAAGAGAGAATAAGCATTAGATCAAAATGTGTTATGGGTTTTTATATTTTTCTACTTTTGAAAATTTAATCTCTCTAATATTATTTAAAAATTTTTAATTTTTATAATATTATTTTTTTGAAAATTTTAATTCAATTATTAACAATACGCATGAATTAAATTCCTTAAAAAATGATACTATAAAAATTAAATTTTTTAAAAATAATATTACAAAATTTAAAATTTTTTAAAAGTACAAAAAATATGACACATTTTAATCTAAGCATTACTAATCGTGCTGATTTTAGGCCCACCTTAATATAATATCCTGTTGATTCTTCTGATCTTAGAAAAATCAATATAAGATTATTATTATTATTGTTATAAAAGAAACTATAACTCAAAGATAAAATATATGCAAGTAAGGTAAAAAATATTATCAAATCAAATTGAGTCGGGATAGTATGAAACTTAAACTCAAATCTAAATTCAAATTTAAAACTCAACTCAAATTTGATAAAATTTTATTTTGTTAATTCGAACTCGATTCAAAATAAAATTTGAATTATTTAAATTCGTTCAATTAAATTTGTTTATTTAGTAAAAATAAGTTTGATTTTATATTCAACTTTAGACTCTATTATTCAAATTTGAAATTGAATTTGAATTGAAATTTTTTATAAATATTTTATATCAATTAAAAATTCAAATTCTAAATAAAACCAAATGTCTAAATCTAAAGAAAATTACATAAAGCAAAACTTATATGATATTCATTGATAGAAAAGAACATTCCATCCTTGTATGATAAGATTGACTCAACCCAGAAAGATCCATGAAAGAATTGATACATTAAAAGATAAAAAAAATTAAAAATTTTTAAAATTTAAAAATAAAATATTTTAAAAAATTATAAAAAACAGAAATATTTTAAAAAATTTTAAAAAAATTATGAAAACTTAACCAATTCAAAAAAATCTTAAAATTTTAACAAAAATTTCAAAAAAATTCAAAAAAATTTAAAAAAATAAAATTTTAATAAGAATAAAAATTTATTAAAATTAACAAAAATGACAAAAGCAAAAAATGAAAATAAAAAATCTAAAACTTTTTAAAAATTGTCAAATATTTTTAAAAATTCTGAAAATTTTAAATTTTTTAAGCTTACAATTTTAATTTTTATATATTTTTGAAAATTTTTTTTTATTAAAATTTTAAATTGTCTTTTTTTTTTTCAAAAAAATTTCTTTAATTTTTTTATAATTTTTAGAATGTTTAAGATTTTTAATTTTTCAGAATTTTTTTAAAATTTTTATTTTTTTTTAATTTTAAAATTTTTTAAAAGATTTTAGATTTCTTTAATTTTCAGTTTTTTATTCTATTTTTGAATTTTTAAGAAAATTTTATTTTTATTAAAATTTTCATTTTTTTAAATTTTAAAATCTTTTTAACTTTGGGATTTTTATGAGAATTTTAAGATTTTTTTTTAATTTTTTGAATGGTTAAAAATTTTTAAAATTTTAGAATTTTTAAAGTTTTTAAAAATGTTTAAAATTTTTTAAAATTCTTTTGAAATTTTCTTTTAATACTGATGTGACAATTAATGATGTGACATTGACTAAATTTTTTTTATACATGTCAGTATTTTATTGAATGTTCATGCTACATTAGTAAGTTAATTAACAATGTTAGTCTGAAGTACCATAATGAATGACGGAATGAAAATTGGAGTATCAAACTAACTCTTTGATTTTTTTAGGTACTAAACTGATAAAAAATATATTGTATAAAGACCATATTTATATTTAATTCAAAAGAGTTTGAAGGTTAGTTGTTTAGGTTTTAATAGTTATATATATATATATAAGGGGGTAAAATCATAAATAATTAATAAAATATTAAAAATATATATTAAAAAAAAAAACTTAATTAGGCTAGTGAGTCAAGTATTAAGTACTTGAATTCGGCTCGCTTGATAACTTGAGTTACTCAAACTCAAGTTTGACTTAAGAATGATTGAGCCAAATTTGAGCTTTTCTTGAGTCGAGCTCAAGTAACTTGTGAGCACGTGTTTCACTTACACCCTTAATTGTATGTATTGGATTTGAACATCAAACCGGTTGGATATCATCTTTTAAGGATAATTTGTATGAATTATAATTTGAATGAACTAACTAAACTAAGTTTTGGGTATATAATAATAATAATAATAATTATTATTATTATTATTATTATTATTATTATTATTGAGCCAAATTCGAGTTTTTCTTGAATCAAACCGAAATAATTTGTGAGCACACGTGTTTCATTTACACCCTTAGTTATATGTATTGGATTTGAATCTCAATTCTGTTGGATACTATCTCTAAAGGGTAATTTACATGAACTAACTAAACTATGTTTTGGGTTTATTATTTTATGTATTGGATTTGAATCTCAAACCTATTGGATACCATCTCTAAAGGATAATTTGCATGAACTAACTAAACTAAGTTTTGGATTATTATTATTATTATTATTATTATTATTATAAAGTTTGAAAACTTCAATAGATCAAGATTATAAAGATTACTCACTTGATCACTCTATCATAACTCATCCTTAGTAAATGGGTTTTATATATCTTTATCTTGTATTTAGCTTGTTTATCCTATAAGCTTAGCTTTTGTACTATAAAATACAATACAATACAATACAACATGTCCCTTTAAGTTTTTTTTTTCTCTTAGTTAAAACTATTTTATTGTATCAAGAGCTACCAAGCTCCAATAAGTACAGTCTTCATTTTTTTTTTTCCTTTTTATCATTTGTCCATGACAAATCAAACCACTTCCACTACTACTAAAAACTATTTTAATCTAACATTAAACCTCTTTTGCTACTGTTAATAACTCTTCTAATCCAACTTTCATCCATTCTAGATTCCACTTTAGTAAGTGAGTTGTCTACCAAAAAATCAATTTAAGTTCTTTTTGCTTGGTTACAAACTTTTGAACTATGTTGATGGATCAATCCCTCATCCACCATAAATTATTGTCAAAGAAAATTCCAATTCTCTTAAAATGATCCCTAATCTTGCTTATGATCATTGGATTAATTAGGATTAACTTTTCTTTATGTGGCATGTTTTCTCATCCAATGATACAATCATTCCTTTTTTATGTCCTGCAACTCTTCCTTAAAAGCTTGGAATAAAATCAATAAGTTATTTGCTAACAAATTCAAGTCAAGGATAATGACTTTTAAAGAAAAACTTTCTTAGTCTAAAGGTACTAAATCGTTGTCTGAATATTTTCAACAATTAAGAAGCATTGCTAATAAACTTTTAAACATTAAGAGTCTATATCTGATGTGGTATGTGATTATTTATATTACCAATTTTGCTACTGAACAATCCTTAGAAACAAGTTTGTTAGATCTTACTATTAAGAGAATTAGTGATTATTGTCAAGAATAATCATACTTAGTTATTTCATTTACCATTTCATACCTTAGTTTAGTTGAAAATCACACCACTCTAAGCTTTCAAGTCCTACGATCTTGATTCTCACTTGACAAATAGAGTTTTCCAAATTAATGATCTTCATTAAGGCTATGAGCAATGAAATTTACAAAAATCTTTTTTGACAAATTCTTTGTGAGCCAATAGATGAGTCATTCTTTTAAATATTCTAGATTTTGGTAATTCGATAAGTGTTAAGACTATTCCAAACACATAACTACCTAAGTTTTTTTCACAAAGCTCAAACTTTTCAATTTCTTCCTTGAGGTATAATATTGAAAATGCCATATCCTTTAATATCCTTGTTTGTCATATTTATTTATGCAACATTCCTTTTCTCTTTCATTCTTTACCCCAAAAATTTCTTTTACTCACATTTTGGTGTAAATTTATCAAGAAAACAAATTATCAAAATTTCCAATATCTTTTGATCTAGATGGCATTCATTTCATTTCTTGTTGAATGGAGATTATATAAACATTTAGTATGGGTTGTGAAAATGAAGATTGTTACATTGAGACTTCATTTGCTGTAGTAAAATGATATATTTTAAGCTTGAATTGTATAAAAAAAAAGAAAAATAAAAAAAAAACAATTAATTGTAACACATATATATGAGATATTCAAATGATTCAAAAATCAAAAAGAAAAAAAACTTCTCCTAAGAATTACTTTTCAACAGAGGTATCTTTATTTAATATGATAAATGCACATATTTCATATTCCTTTCATGAAAAGAAAATATCCATTTGCTACCCATTTTTGAGCCTATTAAACTCTTTTTGAAGAAACCCTAACCAAGTATCACTCTTTACACTAGGGACAAGTATGAATGACAATCTATTTGAAAAAATATTAGATCAAGAGTTAAAGACAATGAAAGAATGCCTATAGTAAAAATGCAATCTTGTAGTAAATAGAGTTTTAGAATTTTGAACTCAATTTGTTACAAGTGAAAACATGCAAGAAAAAATTAAAAAAAGAATGAAAATGAAAAAACAAAAGATGAAAATGCATGTTCTAAGTAGTGGAAATGACAAATGTCCTTAGGGAAAAATGATTATTGGTTTAATTACCTTTAAACACATTTTGAGTCTGTTTATTTTTTTTTTCAGAACCCTAAACCCTAGCCTACATTATGTCTTTTGAAAAGCCTATTTTGATCAAGTGTGGATATCTAAATTGAAGAACTTTTCTTTAGGAAATCACCATCAGTTTTTGATTTGGATGAATTTTGAGTTTTCAAATACATGATGAAAAAGTCAAAAGAAAAAAGGAAAAAATAAAACTTTAGGGTAAAAACCCGAAAGATCAGTCAGAGCAAGATTAAAATTTTGAAAGCAACTCATGTAATTATATACAAAGTGAAAAGCAGTGAATGAAGGTATTTTCAATGGAACCAATAGGCTTTAGAAACTTTTGAGAAATCTAAGAAGATCAACCAACTTTGAAGATTTATTCTAAAATTTGAGTCTTTATTTCTTTCCTAGAAATTTTGAATTTATTATGACTAGTCTTGATATTTGTTAAAATGTCACATATTAAAAATC